ACATAAATAAAATAAGACATTCAGTCCCGACAGAACAGCCGGAACCTCACATCTTTTTTCTCAAAGGAAATATAACTGAAAATAACCATATTACAGGCTTCAGCAAGTAATTAGTACAAATTACTCACCTCACCAAGTGCCTCGCCTACCCGGACCGGTTTCGGGTTCTGCCCCCGAGGATGCACTCTCCGCATCCTATCTAGGCTTACAGCAATAGACTCTATTATCAGTTCATAAGATCTCTTATCTTAAGAAATCATCCATTTAACATTATGAAATCGTTCATATGACCCCATGAACTACTCAAGCCGCGGGCCCATGACTGGGCAAGCCATGAGGTTCCATGACTAGACAAGCTATGGATTCCATGGACAGGACAAGCCAAGGATTTCCATGAACTAACAAGCCATGATTTTTAAAACATTTTTCTTTCGCAAACCAATCCCTTTCATTAAAACACTTTCAATGCCAAAATCCTTTTTGAAAACAGGCTCACAAGGAAAAGGAATAGAAATCCTACCTCGCACAATCAAACCTGGGACTAGTGTTGCCCTTTTCCGGCTTCCGCTTCCTCAAGCCCCTTCAGTCTGAATCCACCGCGAGCACTGATACAAAACGACACTTTAGGATCAATTATCAGTCCTAAAGTAATCCAATCTCAGTCATATACCAAGATTTCTTATTAGTGTGCCCTAATCAAATTTCATGTTTCAATAATCAATTCCAAGGGTTTTCAATCTTAAACAAGGATTAAAGATGTTAATCCTTTTATCCCAAGTCCCCAAACGAAGCTAATTTGGGTTTTCCCCGAAAACATGGGTCAAAACAACAATTTCAGGCCAAACAGGGTAAAACCCCGTGTACACCGGTCGACCGGTGACAGAGAAGTGCATCACCACCGGTCGGCCGGTGGTGTGCATCCGGTCGACCGGACCGGTCGGCCGGTGGCCATAACAAGATCCGGTCGACCGGTGGAGAACACCAGTTTTCGAAAACTCGCGGAAATCAGTTCAAAAACCTGCAAATTCAGTCCCAATTCACAAAATCTCAAGGGACAACCACTAGATCCAGGTTCTAGGTACTAAAACAAGTCCAAAGAACCCAAGATCTCCAATTTCTACCATAGTTTTACTCAAAATCCATCAAAATTCGTTTTGAACCAAAAATAAGTTTTGAAATCCGAAAAACATAGATTCAAGAGAGGTTCTTTCAGTAATCTTACCTCGAATCCTTCTCTTGACGTTGAAAACTCTTTGAAATCACTCTTGGTTCGAATCCGGTTTTGATTTGAGACACAAATGGGAGAGAGAGAGCACGGAAGTGTGTGAGAGAGAGAGAGAGAGAGAAACGCACGGGAAAGAAAAGGAAAAGGAAAGAAAAGAAAGGAAAAAGGAAAAAAAAAGTAAAGAAAAGAAAATGACATGTGTAAAATATAACAGTCCAAAAATGCGCCCATACACACTTCTGGATTAAATAAATTACTGTGAATAATTTAAATATCTTGGAATTATTTAAACTCAATTAATTAAATCAGATTAGGCACACTAATAATCTCAGTTACCTTAATTAATCTCAATTAATTCTTCAGGGTGTTACAGGAGCACCCCTATTTACTTAGATAAGGTTAAAATCTCGCTACTCATTAAAAGTAAATCCTGTTAAGTGGATAAGTGGAATCCGCTATTTTGTGAGCGACGGGATTTTATCCCATTAATAAATATCATTTTTCATTTGCAAGTGTAGGTTAGGATCTAAAACATAAGAGAACTTAAACATTGTGGACTTGGAGGTCAAGAGTCTAAGTGAAGCCCATTTGTAGAGGGTTTTTGCAATGAAGGCAAGAAGGAAAAGTCAAATTGTCAATTTAGGTCCGTTTAGTTTGTTGATTTTAGTTTTTAATTTGAGTTGAGATGTGATTTTGTATGAGAGTTTTTTTCTGTAGTAAAAATGTTAGATGTGACTGTTTCTGAGAGTTTTTTATTGTAAGAAAACTCAAATTTTAAACTTAAATCGATGATATGAACATGGCTCCTAAGAATTCTCCTAATTGTAGTGGCGTTGTCTTTAGAACTTCGGACTTACCTCAAAATTCCGATTTAAAAATTTCCATGTGAACAATGCTAGATATCTCAAACGGCTTGATTGTATTTTCTTTTGATATTTAGACATGAGAAGTGGAACATAACACGTTTATTCAAACACTGGTATTAGAAAGATGTAATGCGAATATATGTAGGATTTGAGATCCAATGTGCTAGAAATCTCAATATATACGGCTTGACCATACTTCCCTCAACAGAAGTGGGAAGTTAACAAGACATTTATTCAAACAATGATATACATCAGTACTCGGGTCTCCAGATCATTGTTACACCTTTTAAAATCTTTTTTTTTTTGTTGGAAAAAGACCTCAGTAGGGAATTTTATTAAAAGCGAAAGAAAAAATACATTACATCTTTTAACACTCATATTACATTTCTCGTTTCTTTATGTCATTGTTGATCTTAATTAAGTTGAGATTAATTATGTTATCAAAACCGGTCTTCTTAGAAAGACTATATTGTAATCAGTGACATGACTAATGTGTTGTTCATTTTTATCAGAGTTCTATTATATTTTATTATTATTCGGTGATGCATTGATATGTGGGAAAAAAATAATAATAATGTCACATGGTAAAAGGTAATGTCATTGAGATTTACACTGTGATGTGGTAGCTTTGTTGCACGGACACGTGGTAATTACATTATTAATAGTGGTAAAGTATTTTTTTCTTTTGTGTATTAGGTGGTTTTTTCCTTCTAATTTTATATTTTGTGAATTAATTTGTTAATTTAAAAATAATAATTCATTTACATCATTTCAACCAAAAAATATGAGAGATATTCATTAGTTTGATGCATGATTTTAATTGACTTTTTCTAGAATCGTCTAACACGTCACCATCAGATAAAGTAATATTTCACGGATGAGCAGAAGCCTACCAGATAGCCTCTTAATGTGACAATAAATGTTGTGGGGAGTTATGCGGACAAGAATGATTTCACATGTGCTTTTGGTCCTTGGATGCACGGGAAGATGGTAATTGGTCTGTCTTATCAAACAGACTTGTACGTATCAGTATCATATCATACTATCATTTTGATATTTGTGGAGGTGGATTACAAGAATATTTGAATTAAAAGAATTGGCGTTCGAATGTATACATTTCTTTTTTAAAAATAATAATAAATAATAATTTAATTTACACATTAATACGGTAAAGGTAAATTTTAAAGTGATACTAAACCTAATTTAGACTTTATTTTATCCTCTTCTTTTCTGCAAGATGATGGTGAAACAACTAAGGTGCAAAAAAAAAAAAAAAAAAACCATGAGTTGCATTGCACTCAAAACAATCCAACATTGGTATTGCAATGCCTTTGAAACCAATACCCTTTTCCAAAAAGGAGTCATTCAACTTTTGAATGTCCAAAGATGAAAGAGAAATTGTTTCATTCCTATCACCGTTGGAATCATGATTTTATAATGCTTTCTCTTGTAAAAATTTAAATTCAACTTTCTGTTACGGTATTTTTTTCTTTTATAAACTCGCTTTTGAACTCAAGTTCTTAACTCAAAAGAGCGAAACAAACGAGCTTTAATTTACTTACCCCTCCAAGTGCCTTCTCTTAGTTTATTGTTCCTCTTAGTTAAATTTAAAAGAAGTATAATGAATTTACCCTTCATTTTTAAGGTATATTTTTATGTCCTTAGTTTTACTTTTTCCGCAGTTTAGGAATTCTCTTTCTCTCGCTCTCTATCTCCCTTCGTTTTGGACACCAATTTCCTAGTGAAACCAACATCGACTTTGCCAATGGACAACCCTGTATTTTGCCCTAAAAGAGAAGAAAGAGGACGACAATTGTTCTTTATTTACAGAATTTCACAAGAAAGGAAAAAAAAATGTATCTTATTTATACTATATACTTTTAAATCGTCAAATCATTATAATTGATCTAAAGTTTTAAAAGTAATTATGGCTTGATCCTTAAATTTTATTTGTTGACTTTTTAGCTTATTGTTTTTGCAGTTTTATTACCCCGAGCATTCTAAGACTAATAATAGACTTTTTGAAATTTAACGAAAGTAGTAACAGTGTACCACATCCATCTCGTAAAACTTTAAATTTTACAAAAATAATTATATGAAGTGTGAAAATATTGTAATTTTAAAGTCGGACATTATGTTATTATTTTTATACATTTTAGGTGGTCACGCGACAGGTACATAATTACCTCTATTAAATTTTAAAGTTTGTTGTCAAATTCTTTACTAGGAATCAAAAGTACTCAAAAACAACTTGAGTTCAAAAACTAACACATAAAACAAAAACAAAAAAGGACCAAATTGTAATGACATATATGGGTGCGTTTGGAATTGGTTCCAAAATAATTTTGTTTTCTGTATGAAAATAAAAATGAAAACGTTTTCATTTTCATTTTGGAATTATTTCTTAAATGTGTTTGGTAGTTTTATTCAGAGATTGATTTCAGTTTTAAAAAAAACTGAAACTGCGTTTGGTGGTTTAATTTTTGAAAACATGTAATAATATTTAAATTAATAATATATTAAATAAATAATAGCCTGGGGGGGTGGGCAGTCAAAGAAGATGGTGGCGGGCCAGGCGGAGAGGGGCAAAGACGGGGGGGTTTC